CTTTTAAAAGCAAATGGAGAAAGAAAAAGAATACTGTTTGGTCTTGATGGCTCTGTTCAATGCAGGAGAAATACCAGAACCAGAAGAGGTAAAGGTAGTAGTCATTTACTGCCTGCATAAAATAAAGCAAAGAAGAAAAAGATATCTAATACAGTACGTGGAAAAATACCCGAGGGCCTAGTCCCAAATCTGCACACTACGATAATATATTAGAGAGAAAGATATGGGAGGAAGCATAAAACAGATCATGCAAAAATAGTCACAATAACAGAAACTGTCAACATCTGTCATCCAAGACTACTCAACTTTCTACCAGGAGATGTCAGAAACACTGCCAGAACAAGTGTAAGGATTATCAAAAGGAAACTGGATCACTACCTCTGCCAAGAGCCAGATCAACCAGACTGTGATGGCTATGTGAGCCACTGGACTGCCAACAGCAAAAGCCTTGTTTTAAAGAAAATCAACAGAAAAAGCCTATCCCTCAGGTTAGGCTGTGAGGATAGAAAAACCCTCAAAATAGGTCACACAGGTGTGCAGGAAAGAATGGATTGATTTTCAGCAACAGTTCAACTTAATAGAAGAAAGTATGATATTTTAGTATAGTAGTTTAATACATTATAAGACAAGGTCATATGAAAAGTGAACTAAGTATTTTGGAGAGTTTATAATCTTGAAGATGAAGAATCTGATATCAACTGAAGATAAAAGATAAGTATTAAACAGATATCCACAAGACAAGCAGCAGAGGTTTTTAAAGATGAAAGGATGTTTAAACTGAATGAAACAAAATGCAAGGTGATGAAAAGATGAAATATTGGAAATGAAAAAACGGTTGGAAGGAATACATCCTGATACTTGAAAGTAGATGTACTGTACCAGCGATGAATCTATGAAGAATGAGGTATATTACGGAACAGGGAAGAAAGTTGCAGGAGCATTGAAAAAGCTGTAGAAACAATAATAGTAAATTTGTAAATACTATATGCAAAAATGTGACAATTAGAATATAGCAAGATATAAAGCATGATCTTTACATATTATAGCAGTGGCGCTGAAAAATGTTTTATTTGATACTGTTCATGTAGAAAAAATGGAGTAGGATTAGATGAATCGCAAAATCATAGTAACAATCACAAACAACTCAGAATGGGTGGTTATTGAACTCATGACAGGATAGGCTCATCAACAAGGTGTATAAATGTAGGATGGAAGGAATGAGAGAGATACTGAGGGCAGGAATTTTGGCATCAATCAGATACATGTGTATGTGACCATGTTAGCAAAGCACAAAGAGAAGCAAGAGGCCTATGCAATTTCGCTGTAATTATGAAGGAACTTGATTGGAAAAAAAGAGGATATAACAACATGTAAAGTTATAAAAGGATATGAAAGAACAGACAAACAAGATTTTTAGCACAGCGAGCCTGAGTTATATAAGTAAAGTAACTAATAAAAAGAGGATGTCCGTTAAAGCTAAATCTCTAGTGGACCAAAACAATAACAGACAATTTTGGATTTAAAATTGTCCAATGCATCTAGAGTTTGTCCAACCACAGATTTTGTCCATTAAATCTGAAATACAGATGTATGTTAACCTGGGCTCTGTTAAATCAAGGTTATGCTGACAACAGGGATAACAAGGTACTATTACAGATGCAAATTTAGAAAAAATGGAGCAGAATGGATATTGGAAGATATTTCTTTACAAACACCTATGGAAGAATGGAATAAAAGTGAGGTAGTAAATGCTACAACCAGAGGAGATTTTAAAAAATTATATGATAAATATATTAATAAAGACAGGACACCAAGGGTATAGCTATGCTCCTGTAGTTACAACAAATAGGTACTGTAAATTACTAGTTTTGGAGGTTAGGAAGCAAAAGGGCTTGTATGCAAAAAGGTGACTGGGAATTTTGCAGTCCAGCAAGTCTAAATTTGTCTGTGATATCCATGCCCTTCTGGAAAAGCAACAAGAAATTGAGTGATGGCATTTTTCTTATTTGGGTCACCAACTTATTTGCGTAATTTTGGTAATTTTTTCTTAATACAAATGGTCCATAAGAAAATGAGAAATTCTAGAGATAACATGTTATTAAACAGTGCTTAGCCTAACGAGACTTATGGCACAGTATCTTAATTTTGATGCTCAGGTGGATAACAGATAAGGGGAACACCCTGATAATGCTGCGGCATCAAGAGGGACATTCCACGTACAGTACAGTGTTTATTTAGATGAGGTGAACCATAGAATTGATGAGGGGAAAAAGGTGGGTTGTGCACTGAAGCATCTATCCAGAGGCAAAAATGGAAAAGTATGCGAGTATAATGGCACCAACACTCTTATACAGTGTGAAGCATGGGTTGTGGATATTGCAGTGAGGAAGAGGCCAGAGGCAGTGGAGATGTCATGTCTGAGGGCAATATGTAGTGTAAATCTTTTGCAGAGAATTTGTCATATGGAGAATAGGAGGAGGTGCAAAGTTACTAAAAGTATTATCCAGAGGGCTGAGGTGATGGTATTGAGATAGTTTAGACATTTAGAGAGGATGGAGCAAAACAGGATGACTTGGAGGGTGTATAAATCTGTGTTGGAAGGAAGGCAGGGTAGGGGTCATCCTAGGACTGGTTGGATGGAGGGGGTAAAGGTTTTGTATGGGAGGAGTTTGGACATCCAGCAGGCTTGTGCAAGCATGTTAGAACAGAGTGAAGACAATTGGTTTTTATAAGTTTATCTGATGTTGGAGTGTGAGCAAGGTAACATTTACCAAGGTATTCAGGAAAACTGGTTAGCCAGACCTAAGTCCTGGAGGTGGGAAGTACAGTGCCTACACTATGAAGAATGGGTGGAGATATTTTGCAGTTCCAAGGGGCATCTGAACATGCCTCTGCAAGACAATGATAGAGCAAGTGATGTTCAAGGTGTTTCTTCTTTTTTGAGTCACCTTACCTCGGTAGAAGACCAGTGTGTTAAAAAATCTAATTTTAAACTTGTAAAATAGTTTTATATAATGAATTATCTAGAAGTGAACATAGGATAACCTAATAAAGCCAAACAATGTGACTTGGGGTCCTTGTACAATAAAGTTATACATACATGCTGCATTAATGTGTGTTCAAGATGAATGAGGTGGTAGAATGCATGTGATCTGCTGTGAAATACAGCAAGGTGTTAGTATAATAATATGGGGTATATAGTTGAAAGTAGATCATGGAGCTGGGATACTGATTATTATAATCAAAGAAAGTGCTAAACTGACGAAGGTCATACAGCGCTGGGATGCTGAGCTGGTGTAAATTGATACTGGGAGGGGAGGGGAAGAAGTAATACAATCTATACTATTTTACTCAGGAAGTGTCTTCAAGAATACTAGTGATACATCATAAACACTTGGATTATACAGTGGAACCTCAAAAATCGAACGTATCACATATCGAACGTTTCGAAAATAGGACCATTTTTTCAGACAAACTGTGTCCCTATTATCGAATGCGCCCCTATTTTCGGACCGCCGGGTATGGGACCTGTCTACCTGCCCGCTCTGTCCGCGTCCCCGCGCAGGCACCGTGAGCAGTCTAGCTTTGTTTATGGTTGAGTGAACACTAACCTGCACTCTCATTCGCGCATTTTACGATTATTTCGTTGTGTTTAATGCTTGTGGGACTGTGAAATAAGCTACCATGGGCCCAAAGAAACTTGCTAGTGGTACCCCTGTGGTAAAGAAAGTGAGAAACACCATAGATGTGAAGAAGGAAATAATACAGAAGCATGAGAGTGGTGTGAAACTTGTTGAGCTTGCCAGGATGTATGGGAAAAACAAGTCGACCATCGGTTCTATCCTGTCAAAGAAAGAACAAATCAAGGAAGCTGATGTTGCGAAAGGTGTTAATATAGTGAGTGGATGAGGTGCCTTCTTCAAAGATTAAGGAGATTTGTGCCAAGTGGAATGATGTCCAAATGATTGTGCAGAAGTACCACCCTGAGCAAGCTGAAACAAGCCATCTTTGCAACAAGTTCAGTGACAGAACCATGTCCCATTTTAGGGAAATGTTAAAGAGGTGCCAGAAACAGAGGACTGTGGACAGTTATTTTGTGAGACGGGGGTCCAGTGACTCTCAAGCTGGTCCTAGTGGCATTAAAAGACAGAGAAGGGAAGTAACCCCAGAGAGGGCTTTACCTAAAGTCCTCAAGGAGGGGGATTCTCCTTCCAAAAACTAACCCCAACTCCCTCTCTCCTCCTCCCTATCTTCCAGATGCCATCACCAATCTTCAATAAAGGTAAGTAAAAATGTTATTTTATATGTATTACTATACATAATTAAAAACTATAGTATTTGTTGTATGTAAAACTGTAATTAATCTCAATAAAATGTATTTTTTGTGTGAATATTTTTGAGTTTCTGGAACGGATTAATTGTATTTCCATTATTTCTTATGGGAAATATTGCTTCGAATTTCAGACTTTTCGAATTTAGAACTAGCTCCTGGAACGGATTAAGTTCGATTTTTGAGGTTCCACTGTATTTTTATATCTTTCCCTATAGTCAAAATGCTTATGCATTTCCCTGTAGTCAAAATGCTTATGCATTTCCCTGTAGTCAAAATGCTTATGCATTTCCCTGTAGTCAAAATAATTATGCATTTCCTTGTAGTCAAAATGCTTATGCATTTTGACTACAGGGAAAAAGCTTATGTAAAATTCTGCTAAGCTTATATAGTTTTAACTATTCAGCTTCAAATTTAAATATTAGCATGCATTTTCTAATCAGGAATACTAATTAATTATTCTAATCTCAACCATATACCAACTACTGGTGTTACATTAATGCATATAAATTGCTTTGTCAATAGGTGCTAAACCCAACACTTACCTTTCAACTAGATGCTACAGACACAAACCACAGATGGAATCATTATGAAAAAATTAAACTACCAAACTGAAGCATCTGTCATGCAAGAGATGTGCCCAAAGTTTAAAAGAACAAACAAAACACACCTGACATCTCTTGGAAATGTTCGGTAAACAAGCCAGAGAGTATGGGAGCCTCCAAGACTTAAGTAGAGAGTCAGTGCACAAGCAGTTATCACGTAAGCATCGAAGTTAGTGGAGTAGCAGAGGGTGATAGCCACAGCTACAGCCACTACTGAGGACCACATGATTTACACACTTGGAACCAACTCAGCTGCTACTAAAATCTGGCAATGACACTGGGTCCTCACTCTGCAAGAAAGACAGACTACTGGTAATGCATCCATTTTGCATATTAAGAGCTTTCTCTGTAAATAAATTTATTTATTTATTTATATTTATATATTTATATTTATGCAATAAGATCACAGTAAACAGGTGATATCAGAATATGCAAAACAACTTAATAAACTTAAATAACATTTAGTTTTACAGTTAAGGATATTCTGTTATGCGTATGGCAAAATACATAACCTAACAAAACCTATCTAACCCAACCTAAAATAACATAATGTAACCTAACCTTACTCTGCCAAATGTAGGTATTTGTCATTGCTTACATTCAGGCACGTGATGCAACTCAATACTATATGCTGATCAATTTAAAGTGCAAAAATAGTATTAATTGTGACTGCACAACACATCTAACCCAATCAACGCTCCATATGTACCAGTACCAATGGTAGAGTAAGGTTAAGCTACATTAGGTTATGTTGGTTTTGGCCAGTTTCGACAGATTGGTAACTTTTTTCATAATTTCCACAATAAAATATCTCAAATGTACGCCAACTTAATATTGTACAATTCAAACTACTGTATAATTAATTACCTAAGCCCCCCCCCAGGAGCAGTTGTCTACTGAAATGTTCCTAGTTCATTAAAAACAACACCTGATTAAGGTTTATTTAGGCACAGGTGCATTTATTATTATAATCAAAAGAGGCACAGGTGTAGATAAGAAGAAATTATCAGTGTAAATTACCTAAGATAACCCCCAAAAAAAGTCAAGTGACTTATTTTCAATGGGGTCCTTGATATCTATCAAAGGATCCGGGTTGGATCTCATGCTGGGTGATACGAGAAAGTCTCTTTGCATCTGCTGGTCCTGTTATCGCAGCAGTAAACTGGTACCCAGTTTATTCCGCTCTTATGGATGCACCTATGGATCCTAACGGAAATACGCCACATTTCTTTTATTTTTTTTTGTCTCAAAAGTCATCAACCCTACGGGGTCAGTAATCCGAAATTATTCTTCACATTTATTGGTAATGCATCTAGTTAAAAAAAGGTGAACAAATAATTATATAAATTCATTCACCTGTTTCAAATTGGATCTTAGAGTCCAGGCTTACGGTTTCTTAGCAAAAACACTAAAAGGGCATTAGACAATTAACATTCCGGAAACTGGGTTAACTGCAGACACTTATAAGCTAATTACATGGTTAACAACCACAAATCACCGACCACAGACATTCACCTCATCACAACGCATATATGAGACTTACACAAGGTAAGTGTCCACACACAAGTTAGAGGTTTAAGTCAAAAATCGATGAGGAGAGGCAGCATGGAGCTCACCTGGACGAGCTGCTGTGGCTGACTACACGTAAACAACAACTGTAACAAAAGCGCATCTCACGCTACTCTGGCTTGTGATTTATCCCGTTAGTAATGATAGGGAGAGAGTAAGGGGGTGATCCCCCAGGGAGGGAACACCCCTTAAACTAGCTTATCAATGTCCATCCATCCTCTCCCACCCCTACCCCCCCTCTAGCCATTGGCGAGGTTATCTCCACATGGTCACATACATATAATTGGCCAGCCCTAACATGATTGGCGTTACTCTACGTCTTGATAATAGAAAGTGACCATTATTTTGAAGCTATAGAAACTTTTTTTCAGTTTTTTTTAACAGAGCCTTTTCCCACGCACGGTACTTAATGGAAAATAAAGCATATTCACCATTGCTTGCAACCTGGTAACCTACTCAGAGATACGTGGACACCACATTTTAATTGATCCACTGAATCACAACATCCCCACTTGTCTTTCAAAATGCTACCCCTGTATTTTCCTCCTCTAGAACTCAAATCCAACTAGCCATATCCCTTAACTCCCTTCATGGACATTATCTGGAGTTTACCTGGAGCCATATTCATATAAAATCTCTAGAACTATTTATTTATACTTTTTCTCTTATGCCAACTCTAAGGGAAAAACAACATCCAGTATTGGTTCCCTGCTTAGGCGGGATGGGACATACACAGATGATAGCTAAGACATGAGTGAGATACTGAAGTCCCAATATGACTCAGTGCTCAGAGAGCCACTGCCCACTCAAAGAGTCGACAATCCAAATGAATTCTTTATGAACGAAACCCAAAATTTGGTCATCCCAAAAATCTCGGATATTATTCTAACTCAACAAGACTTTGAAGAGGCAATTAATGACATGCCCATGGACTCTGCCCCAGGCCCAGACTCGTGGAACTACCTGTTCATCAAGAATTGCAAGAAGCCCTTATCGCGTGCCTTCAGCATTTTATGGAGAGGGAGCATGGACACAGGGGTTATCCCACACACACTAAAAACAACAGACATAGCCCCACTCCACAAAGGTGGCAGTAAAGCAAATGCAAAGAACTACAGACCGATAGCACTAACATCCCATATCATAAAAATCTTTGAGAGGGTTCTAAGAAGCAAGATAGCCAATCACCTAGACCTAGATACTCATCAGTTACACATCCCAGGGCAACACGGGTTTAGAGCAGGTCTCTACTGCCTGTTCTAGCTACTGGACCACTATGACAAGGTCCTGGATGCCACAGAGGATAAACAAAATACAGATGTATACACAGACTTTGCAAAAGCTTTCGACAAGTGTGACCATGTTGGAGAGAAGCCGCCCAGCCGCCGTGGAGAGAAGACGTTGTCGTTCCTGCTCTTCAGTTATCCTGAGTAATTCTCGAGCTGAGCAACTCTGAACACTGTTACTCGATATTTTTCATGGGTTATCCTGAGTAGTTCTTCACCAGAGCTGAGAGGAAACTTGCTTGCAGTCACTTCGAGCCCCATCCCATCAAGAGGGTAAGGCGGCGACTTGCTTGCTTGTTCACCCCTCTCTTCCCCATCCCCCCATCCTTCCCCATCCCCTCACCCAAACATCTACACTGGCCCACACACTAACACACTACATACACTGCTATCCTTCTGACTTTCCTATCTTCTTCTTTTTCGGCAACTTCGCTTTGGCGAGTTAACACACGGCACTTTGACCATCCGGTAGCCCGTGTGGTTTTTTAAAATCCGGCCGATCTTTGCCTTGGGCCCTTTCCCCCTCACCACTCGAGGATAGGCTATCTTAGGGGCTGACCTTCATAAGTCAGCTGAAATAGGTTGTTAGACTAACACTAAGGAAAAACCCTTTTTGTCAAAGCAACTTATGTGCCAGATGTACCTTCCTGGACATCATGGCGCGAATAAGAGTAAGATTACGTGTGGATGGTAACCTAAAGACGAAGAAAGAAATTCTAGCATGTATCTGCTCGAATTCAACTGTTGCTCCAGTGGATGTTTTTACAACCCCCGCTGGGGTAGTACTTCTCCTCTTTTCTGAAGAAGAGTTACTTCAACTACTAAAGCAGGAGGTCCTGGACAAATTGACGACTTTTGGAATCCACCCAATTGCACCTGAAAGCTATCAAGCTCAGCGAACTGTGTTTGTTTCCAGAATCAACAGCATCATGAGAGATAGCACAGTGCAGGAAATTGTTGAGGACTTTAATACAGATAATTCTGAATTTCATGCTGTCCAAGCACATAAATTCTCCAAACCTGGCAACAACCAGGTAACATTAAAGTTAATACTTGTGACACCTGAAGAGGCCAAACTTGTGTGTCAAAATAGCTTCCAATGTTTTGGCACCAGATGTACACCTGACCAAATCTCTCTTGAACGATTTGTCAGTGTTACACAATGTTTTAAATGTTATGCCTTTGGTCATACCATCAACAAATGCAGTACTCAAGCGCAGATTTGCAGCATTTGCTCTGGCCAACATTCTTATAGAGATTGTAATAATAAAAATACGCCCAAGTGTGTCCTCTGCAATGGAAAACACCATGCTGTTTCTGCTCTCTGTCCTAAGAGGAAAAAGGAAATACAGAAAATTCTAGAAGCTAAGAAACTGTCCACTTCTAAGAAGACCAATCCCCAGGCACCTCCAACAATGTCCCAAACTTCCTTCCCAGTTTTGCCTGGATCTAGTGGGACTCCTCAGGTCTCTACTACTGGTTCCAATGTTTGGAATTCTGCCCCTCTTGGAGTGCCCCAATCTAACCCTCACCTACAACATACACAAACGCAACAACAAGGTTCAACCTCACCTCCCATGTCTCAGGTATCCTCAGCATATGACGAGAGCGCAACTAATGTATATAATGGCCAAAGACATTGCAGGTGGGGACATTCAACTCTGCTCAAAAGTTTTAAATGATTTGTTAATGGCTAATGGGATCACTCCCATTACTATCCCAGATAATGTTAAGGAGATTATGGCCCAGCCTTCTCATAACAAGAAGTATGTTCCCTACACTACTTCTACAAACAAGTCTAATTCATCCCTTGTCCAGGGATCACCCACCTCGCATAACCAAGTTGTTAACTCCCCTCAACCCGATGAGTCAATACCTGACCCTAACGATGCCCCAGAGATTGGTGCTTACTCTTCCGTTATTGCAGCTGATCCTGATGAACAGGAACTTTCCCAAGGTAATTCACCTGTCCTACCAAATTTCCCCTTGGAGCCTCCAGTCTCCCATTAACTCTCACGAGCCTCTGCGTCCTGAAACTGGGAATATCACACTTCAGTTTTCTGAAGATGACTCTAATGATTCTGTTAATATTACCAACTCTAGTGAAGATGGTGACACTTTCAATACGCAAGCAACTACTCAGAACTTAAGACACATGTGCAACATCTGGGTATCTTTATTGTAGACGTTTCGCCATCCAGTGGCTTTATCAATACAAATTCTAGGACATAGCTTGAAGACAGTAGGAATATATACAGAAGATGAGGTAATCAGTCCCTCAAACTTGGAGTAGGTGCGAAGAGCACAGAAGTCGTGGAGATTCTGAATCCGTGTCTTCTCTTTGCGGATGACACCCGGATCACCATGGCAGTGACCTCCATTGAAGACACCGCGAGACTCCAAGTGGACATCAACCAAATCTTTGAATGGGCCACTCAAAAACAACATGAAGTTCAACGAGGAGAAATTTCAACTATTCAGATATGGAAAACTTGAAGAAATTAAAAATGTATCAGGGTACACCACAAATTCTAACCATACAATAGAGCGAAAAAGTAATGTGAAGGACCTGGGAGTGATAATATCAGAGGATCTCGCCTTCAAAGACCACAACAGTCTGCCTCATCCGCTAGGAAAATGGAATGGATAATGAGAACCTTCAAAACTAGGGACGCAAAGCCCATGATGATTTTCTTCAAATCGCTTGTGCTCTCTAGGCTGGAATACTGCTGTACACTAACGGCCCTCTTCAAGGCTGGAGTTTACTTGGAGACAGTTCCGGGGGTCAACGCCCCTGCGGCCCGGTCTGTGACCAGGCCTCCTGGTGGATCAGAGCCTGATCAACCAGGCTGTTACTGCTGGCTGCACGCAATTCAACGTACGAGCCACAGCCCAGCTGGTCAGGTACCGACTTTAGGTGCTTGTCCAGTGCCTGCTTGAAGACAGCCAGGGGTCTATTGGTAATCCCCCTTATGTATGCTGGGAGGCAGTTGAACAGTCTCGGGCCCCTGACACTTATTGTATTGTCTCTTAACGTGCTAGTGATACCCCTGCTTTTCATTGGGGGGATGTTGCATCGTCTGCCGAGTCTTTTGCTTTCGTTGTGAGTGATTTTCGTGTGCAAGTTCGGTACTAGTCCCCCTAGGATTTTCCAGGTGTATATAATCATGTATCTCTCCCGCCTGCATTCCAGGGAGTACAGGTTCAGGAACTTCAAGTGCTCCCAGTAACTGAGGTGTTTTATCTCTGTTATGCGCGCCGTGAAGGTTCTCTGTATATTTTCTAGGTCAGCAGTTTCACCTGCCTTGAAAGGTGCTGTTCGTGCAGCAATATTCCAGCCTAGATAGAACAAGCGACCTGAAGAGTGTCATCATGGGCTTGGCATCCCTAGTTTTGAAGGTTCTCATTATCCATCCTGTCATTTTTCTAGCAGATGCGATTGATACAATGTTATGGTCTTTGAACTTGACTCAAGAAATCGTAATGACACGATTGCAAATAAACCACACCCCCGGCCGGGATTGAACCCGCGGTCATAGAGTCTCAAAACTCCAGCCCGTCGCGTTAGCCACTAGACCAGCTAGCCACAATAAGATTCATCCAACTAGGTATATTTATACACCATAGGAAAGTTAGCACAGGCACCTCTGTGACCACAAATGCAAGTTTTTACAGACGAATCTCCAGCTAGCGTGGCCGTGACGAACTCTAGCTCAAGTCCCTTCACTGCCGTCAACACGCTAGCTGGAGATTCGTCTGTAAAAACTTGCATTTGTGGTCACAGAGGTGCCTGTGCTAACTTTCCTATGGTGTAGAAATATACCTAGTTGGATGAATCTTATTGTGGCTAGCTGGTCTAGTGGCTAACGCGACGGGCTGGAGTTTTGAGACTCTATGACCGCGGGTT